AGAGATTTCAGGGCTAAAATGAGAGATGCTTTCTTGGCCCTTTTGGAAAGAAGCTAAATGATTGTTCTTCATTGACCCTGTACAGATAAAAAAAATGTCAGTGTATCTATTGGAAAAAGTAGCTACCATATTTACTTGAGTGCAAGATAAGCCACCCCCCTCAACAAACATGAGGTTCCCCCATCTTACATTTGCATACAAGGAAACCTAATTAAATATACTGTCTATAATTAAGCTTCTGTCAAAAGCAGCATATGCTCAGTAATAGAAAACAACTATGAAGTTGGTTAAATACAGCTAATGCTGAGCATGACTACAAAACATATGGTCCCACATACAGATGGGAGTATATACACATACTGAACAGTGCTGAGCTGTGGAGTCACCATGGCTTGAAATACTGTTGACTCTGCTGGGGCCCAGTCCAATGAACCATTTGGTAAATCATGAGCCTTTTGGCTTTGGACTAATATTATGCATAGTTTGTACTATATATAAGTGGATACAAAAGTGTTGCCCAAAAGTGTGTTTATGAAGTACCTGTGAACACCTGGCAGAAGTTTCAAAAAGGTAAAATTCTTCAATTCTGGATGACCTAAGTCGATGGGTACCTGCAGTAATTTTATGCAAATTACTACATGTATGTGTAGTTCAAGGTCAGTGTTTTCAAATTTGCCTTTCACTTCCATGTGATGAGGGAGAGCAGAGTGTAACAGTTGGGAAAGGGAAGAAGCAGGGAAAGGACTGCGAGGGAAATAAGTTGGGGGAGCAGAGGACAAGGGGCCACTTGAATTTCCCCAGATTTATTTTTCCTACTGTAGCAGTGGGAGGAAGACAAATTCAAGGCAAACCTCCAATAATTAGATCTATACCTAGAAAATTATATCAAATTTATAAAATTTTCATATATAGAATCTAATTATTCAGGGGAATCATCTTATATTCAGGATCGTCTTACATTCATGTAAATATGGTAATTCTTTCTCCCACCTTTGGAGTACTCTGGGTTCTAAGAATAGCGTTTTAATTGTTAAGTGCAGCAGAGGGACTGTTCACCTGGCACATAATTATGTTCCTTATAAATAATATGAGCCAAACTACAATCCCTTACTTGCCCTACAAATCAAGCAAGGATGACCTTGATCTTTCCTTCTGCCCCAAAAACCAATAGCTTTCTGACACCTTCCTTCATGCCTTCTTTAAGATTATTCTAAGGTATGAATGGAACAAGCCTTAACTTTTTACCATAACTTTTTACCTCTGAATGTTCCCCAAGCCTTTTACCACAGGGCTGTCCAACTGGCAGCTCACAACAGGTTAATATGGGCTCTTTCTCCCCCACTTCTCATCAAGTCACTGGCTCCCCACGCTGCTCAAGCCAGGGTCTCCAGGCTCCCCTCTTCCTCCTCCGGCTGCTGCTTCCTACCTTTGCCCCAAAGGTCAGGGCAAGGCAGTGCAGCAGCACAGGGTATTGAGGGTAAGTCTTGCATCACACTAGAGTTGGGAGGGAAGGAGGGGAATAGTTTTTTGAGGTATGGGTTGCCAGAATCATCATCTGTATCTGTATGCAAGAAAAAGGACCTTCTTTGATTCTTGATCAGAGGAGTCTTACGCAAAAATAACAGTGGACCAAATTACAGTATGAATGGTTTTACAGAATTATGCATCAATAGTTGCAGAATATTGATCTCGGATTCATAATGTATCTGCCAACACAGACAAGTGGCCTGATCCTCACTCAGTTGCTGTGAACCAATTGAAGCCAATGACAAATCTGGTACATGGTGTGCTATCAATGACAAAATTTACTTGAGGTGAAGTAAAATTCTAGAGCTCATTTTAGTGAATTCAGGGTTACTGAAAATTGCTAACCCACCTGTGTTCTCTACTGGACAACTATGCTGTATAAACTACTGTACTATCATTTGGGCCAGAAGACACAAATACTGGATCCTGCTAACTTCTTTAACTACTGTGTTCAGACTTATTTCATATCTCAATACTGAAATGATACTGACTCAACAACAAAGTGACACTGGTACCACACTGGCTCAACTAGAACTGTTTCAGAAGCATTTCTGTTACAGGCAGAGAAAATAAAAGTTTAGTTAAAGACTTACTTCGCTTTGTATGGCGAGTCAGAGGTGGGATTCTTTGCTTCCATTAAACTTTCATATTCCTTAGCCCTTGGAAAGAAAATATTCAGCACTGATTATTCTTTACATATTTCACATTTTATAGCCAATTATACAATTCCAATTTTTGAACTATTCAGTTTTATCATAAGCAATTTTTGCTTTAACAACACTCAAATTGATTCCTAAATACTATTCATGAATTGGAATGTTTATAGTTATTACTTTAACTTCACCCTTTATCTAGTGAAAATACATTAACATGATTTTCCAAACCAAATATTATATATGGAATATATAACAATGGAGACAGAAATAATATTTTACTTCTAAATATGTTATCTCATGATTAAATGAACACATTCAAATTTTGACATGTTGAAGGAATCTAAAGAAAAATTAATCATAAACATGTCTTCATTTATATACAGATTGTTTATTGTATAAGTAGCAATAGTAACATCCTTTCTGAAACACTAATGACTGTTCTGTAACTTTATAAACACCAAGAGTTATACAATTCAAAAATAAATATCTTCATGAAAGACTGTTTTACTTTGGAGAATGTAAATAAAATTCGGTAGCATAAACCTGTCCAGGTACTTTAAGGTATTCTTGTTTAAACAGCCACATGCCGAAGTACAAGAAAGAGCAAAACCGTACTTCTTTACCACTGCTTAGTTGGGCTCTAGCTGGCCTGGACCAAAAAGTAATAACCATTATCAGTCCATCAACCTAAGATAATGGATTTCTACATTGAATCCTAAAATTAATTTGGTAAAACAAATTTAAACTGTATTCTAAGGGGAAAAAAACTCTGTCTGTAAACAATAATTTATTATCACAAAGAAAAATCTGGCTGGTACAAAAATTCAGCTGTGAATCTATTAAAAAAATCATTACAGTGATTTAATATTGACGAAAGAAAATAACGCCATGCACAGAAATCCAAATTGAGGATGTTTGAGTTACTCCACTACTGATACAATCTCTGACAGTAGGCAAGTCTTCCAAACTTTCAAAAAGGAGTCCTTCTAAAATCCTGCCACTTCCTTAGATGCCTACATGGGAAACAAGTTGTTTGAACAAATGAACTGCCATACTGGATCAAATCACCATTAAGATCTAGGGCCTGTTTCTGACAACAGCCATGATGTGTTTCAAAGGAAGTAACAGAAAGCCCACAGTAGGCAGAAGTTAAATAATTTGTCCTCAATGAAAGTCTTATCTTAATTGCTAATACTTAGTGATGGCCTTAATCTCTGAAAAAATTAGGTTTTACATTACTTGCAAAATTATTTTTAACATTAACTATTATAACTCTGGATATTCTTGCTATCCATATAAATGTCCAATCAGTCTTTGAATCTTTTAGCTCTTAGCCTCAATTATTTCCTGTGGACAATGAGTTCCACTGTCTAATTACACTGAAACAGTTGAGTGAAAATATCTATTTTTTTATCAGTTCTGAAATTGCCACCTTTCAATTTCATTTAACATCCTTTTACATTTGTTTTATGAGACAGGGAGCAAAGAAGTTCAACTTATCTCAACCACTCATTATTTTACATACTTTTATCACACACTGCCTCTAATTGGCATGTAAACCATCCCAAACTTTTCAGTCTCTCTCCATAGGAGAATTTTTCCATGCTGTAATCATTCTCAACACCTGTCCATGAAAATGCTCTAATTCTGCAATATTCTTTTTGAAATGGAGTAAGTAGCATAACATTTAGTATACCAAATGAGGGCATATCATTTACTGTTTACTGTAACATTATATTATCAATATTATTTTCCAATAGTTCCCTTGGTATCCTAACATGTTCTTTGTTTATTTTTTACTATGACCGTATACTGTATAAAAGTCCTCATGAAAGTGTCAATGAGGTCCAGGCTCCTTTCTTAAGCAGAGGTAGCTAATCTAAATCTTTAAATTGTATAAATATTTCACAGTTTTTTTCCTTCTGACACACTACATTGTATTTATCAACACTAAACTTCATTTGCTATTATTTCATCTATTTGCATACCTTTGTCAACTTCCTCAAAAAAGTTTTGCAGTGTTCCCACAACTCAATTAACCTAAACTATTTGGGGCCTTAACCAATTCTGCTACTTTTCTCCTTGAACCCTTTCTGGAGCATAAATTGTAGATTACAGAACAAAAACTGCTAAAAATGAAACAAAAAGGCACTTCACTATTAAACTTTTGATGATAACTGACCATTTAATTCAGACTTGTTTTCTGTTTTAGCAACTATGAAGAAACTAACTTTTATTCAGTTCAGAAAAATAAGCCAAACATGAATATTCACCTAAACACACATCACACCAACTCTTGCAACAGGACAACTTCAAATAAATTGTAAGGGAGAAATCATGTATTCTTCACCTCTATTTTCAAAGTTTAGTACTGAGGTTTCAGTGAATCCCTATCTGCCTTGCAGATGTTGAAGTATTCTTTTGATGGTACAACATAATGTTAAACATGGATAATTTAACCAACTATATATCAGCTGTTGCTACAGCACCAATTTAATTGCTTAGGGTTATAAATATTATTAATAAGCCCAACAGAACTTCTACACAGTACTAATAACCCATTGATCACAATTTGTCCCTCCATTCACCTTTGCCCCTGGTTGCTTTCATATTCTGATTGTGATTTAAGGTCTAGCATCTCAGGAAAGCAACAGGAATCTGTTTTTAAAAAAAGTTGCTTGCATCTTTTAAATTTAAAAGTTTAACAATATTTCTAACAAACTTCTAATTCCAAGCTTCTAAACCTAGGAGAGTTTCCTATAACCATTTCTTTTTCATAAGAAAAAGGAAAATAGCTGTAAAATATGCTAAAATGATATGCATGAATAACTTGTACAAGACTTGTTTGTGAGACCATCTATGAATAGCATGTATCTCCTGCGTTTTAACCGTCTCCCCAACCTTTAAAAAAATAACAAATAAGGCCTTTAAATCAGCAATCCAACTAAATTATGAGCTGGTTTTGAGTAGTTGTTTCCAACATTTGGTGATTTTGCAATCTGGATTATTTTTGGACAGATACCACAGAATTCATTACATGTCATATTGTTATTGTGATGTTCCTGTTTCATTTGCTTTACTCTCCTAGCTTGATAAAAAATCCTTTGGTGTTCTATGTAAGGGAATTTCTTTCCCT